ACCCCAGCACAACCCACAGCCCCAAGCCCCAGTCCAGCCCCAGCCCAACCCCAGCCGCAACCCTAGCCCCCGGCTCAATCCCAACCCAGCCCCCAGCTCAACCTCAGCCCCCAGCCCAACCCCCCACCGAACCCACCCGAACCCCAGCCCAACCTCCAGCCCAGCCAAACCCCAGCCCCCAGCCCAAGACCAGCACAAAACCAGCCCAACCCCAGCACCCAGCCCAGCCCCCAGGCCAGCCCAACACCAGCCCAACCCCCAGCGCAACACCAGCCTAGCCCCAGCTCAACCCCAGCCCAGCCCAGCCCAACCCCAGTCCAAACCCACCCCAACCCTAACCCCAGCCCCCAGCTCAACCCCAGCCCAAACCCCAGCCCAACCCCAGCCCAAACCCAGCCTAACCCTAACCCCAGCCCAACACTTAGCCCAGCCACCAGCCCAGCACAACCCCAGCCCAATCCCCAGCCCAACTCGCATCCCAACCCCAGCCCAACCCCAGCCCAACCCCCAGCCCAACCCCCAGCCCAACCCCCAGCCCAACCCCAGCCCAGGCCCAGACCCAGCTCAACCCCAGCCCAGCCCCAGCCCAGCCAGCCCAGCCCCCAGCCCTGCCCCAAACCCAACCTCGAGCCCAACCCCAGCCAACCCCAGCCCAACCCAGCCCAGGGCAAAAAAGATTATATGAGAAAAGATTAGTGGGTCACATAAAAGAGAACCCTAAGATATTTCATAAGCATATAAAGAATAAAAGGTTATTCATCAGTGGGGTGGGTCCAATTAGGGACCAAAGAGGAAATCTTCTGTGGATGCAGAGGGCACGGCTGATGTACAGAATGAGGACTTTGCATCTGTCTTCACAAAAGAAAAGAATGCAGCCAATGCCACAGTATCGGAGGAGAGGGTAGAGAAATTGGACAGGATAAGAATGGAGAAGGTATTAAAAAGGTTGTCGGTGCTCAAGGAAGATAAGTCACCCGGTCCGGATGGGACGCATCTTAGTAATGTTACTGAGGAAATAAGGGTGGAAATAATGGAGGCTCTGGCTACAATCTTTCAATCCTCCTTGGACACTGGGGTGGTGCCAGAGAACTGGACGGTTGCAAATGTTACTCCCCTGTACAAAAAAATAGGCAGAAGGATAAATCTGGGAAGTACAGGCCAGTCAGCCTAACGTCAGTCGTGGGGAATAAAGTGATGCATTTTGGGAGCAAGAATGAGAAGGCAATGTAAACTACCTGGTATAATGGTAAAGGGGGTGAAGGAACAGAAAAACCTGGGGGCTTATGTATTTGAATGTTTGAAGGTGGCAGGACAGGTAGATAAAGCTGTTAAAAAAGCATACGGGATACTCGGCTTTATAAATAAGGCATAGAGTACACAAGTCAGGAAGTTATGATGAACCTTTATATAAAACACTGGTTAGGCCTCAGCTCGAGACTGTGTTCAGTTCTGGGCCCCACACTTTAGGAAGGATGTCAAGGCATTGGAGAGGATGCAAAGGAGATTTCCCAGAATGGTACCAGGAATGAGGCACTTCAGTTATCAGGAGAGGCAGAGAAGCGAGGATTATTGTCCTTGGAGCAGAGAAGGTTAAGAGGAGACTTAATAGAAGTTTTCAAAATTATGAGGGTATTTGATAGGGTGAACAAGGAGAACCTATTCCCACTGGCGGGTGGGTCAGTGACCCGAGGACCCCGATTTAAAATAGTTGTTAAAAGAAACAGAGATGAGGTGAGGAGAAATGTTTTCACACAGCGAGTTGTTGGGATCTGGAATGCATTGTCTGGAAGGGTGATGGAAGCCGATTCAATGACAGCTTTCAAGAGAGTAGATAATTATTTGGGGAGGACAAGTTTGCAGAGCTATGGGGAGAGTGGGATTGAATTGGAAAAGCTCTTTTCAAAGAGCCGACACCGATACGATGGGCCGAATGGCCTCCTTCTGTGCTGTATAATTCTTTGATCTTCATTTAACAGTCACTCACCCATAAATGCAGGAAATGTCAATCACTACATCAATCATATCACAGCACAGCTCATATGACTGCATGTCTACAGGTGAACTGTCTGTTGCAATGTAGATTTTACTGACTACATCAAAAAGAAAGGCCTTTTCAATCCCAGAGTTCTGTAGAGAAAGCAAAATAGTTTAAAGATCTGTGACTTTTAAACTGTTACACATTAAAACAAGAATTATTTGTCCCATAACTTCATCCTCCATTCTGTTTTGAAACTCTTCAAATCCAAGTACTTACCGAAATAAAGATGTTAAGTAGATTTTCCAGAGTTGGCAGCTGTGGGATAAGCTTCTGGACTACCTTGCTGAAAGCTTCGAATATTGAATGATCGTAGATGCTGGTTAAGTAAAAGCTGATGAATTAAACACAATCAATAACACTGAATTGGCAACTACAACAACAAGATTCCATTTATAGAGCGCCTTTCACGTCGGGAGGACATCCCGAGGCGCTGGACAGTTGGGTCAGGACCCGAGCAGGTGTCAGGGTGGTCAGGGTGAGGGGAGGGAAGGGAGGGAGCGAGGAGAGGGTAGAGAGTCGAGAGGGGAGCTGAAGGCACGGTCAAAGAGAAAGGTCTTGAGACCGGCCTTGAAGGAGGAAAGGGAGGAAGCTGCGAAGGCACTGGGGATGGAGTTCCAGAGCCTCGGGGCTGAGAGGCTGAAGGCCCGACCACCGATAGTAGGGCGGTTGGGGCGGGGGACGTGGAGCAGACCGGAGCCAGAGGAACGGAGGGTACGGGCAGGTAAGTAGGGGGATAGTAGGTCGGAGAGGTAGGAGGGAGCGAGGCCGTGAATGGCCTTGTAGGTGAGGATGAGGATCTTGAAATCAATCCTCTGGGGGATGGGGAGCCAGTGGAGGGGAGCGAGGGTGGGAGTGATGTGGGCGCGGTGTCTGGTGCGGGACAGTACACGAGCTGCAGAGTTCTGAATGACCTGCAGTGTGGAGGGAGGGCCGGGAAGGCCGACGAGGAGAGAGTTCCCATAGTCCAGCCTTGAGGTGACAAAGGCGTGAACCAGGGTTTCAGCCGCGTGAGGGGTGAGGTAATGGCGTAGTCTGGCGATATTCCGGAGGTGATGGAAGGCGGTGCCAGTTGTTGTGCGGATGTGAGGGAGAAAGGACAGCTCAGGGTCGAACAGAACCCCGAGGTTCCTGACTGGCTTTGAGAGGTGGAGAGTGCAGCCTTGGATGCTGATGGTGTCAGTGCCTGAGGTGCGGAGGCGCTGACGTGAGCCAATCGGGAGGGCCTCAGTTTTGCGCACGTTGAGCTGAAGGAAGTTGTCTCTCGTCCAGGACTCGATGTCGGACAGACAGCTGTCAGGACATCGGGGGTCGTGGAGTTGAGGGTAGAGGAGGAAAGGTAGAGTTGGGTGTCATCCGCATACATGTGGGAGTTAACTCCATGTCTGCGGATGATGTCACCACAGGGGGAGCATATAGAGGGTGAAAAGGAAGGGACCGAGGACAGAGCCCTGAGGGACACCACACGAGACAGTGCTGGGGGTGGAGGAGAAGCCATTTGTGGAAACAAAATGAAGACGGTGGGAGAGGTACGACCTAAACCACTCAAGGACAAGGCCTTGAAGGTTGAAGTGGGAGGACAAGCGGTTGAGGAGGATAGCGTTGTCGACCGTATCGAATGCTGCCGATAGGTCGAGGAGGCAGAGGGAGCCCTGGTCGCAGATGGTAAAGATGTCATTGGTGACCTTGACCAGGGCAGTTTCTGTACTATGGGCAGCACGGAAACCCGACTGAAGGGGTTCAAACAGTGAGTAGGTGAAGAGGAAAGAGCGCAGCTGAGAGGCGACGACTCTTTCAAGGACCTTGGACAGGAAGGGGAGGTTGGAGATGGGCATTGTACCTGTCTTCCTGTTATGGACTTTCTAGTAAATCATGTCTGCAAACAATTTCTTCAGAAACACAAATACCTCATTAAATGGTCACACAAACTGGGCTAGATTTAAAGTTTTAGATATAAAGGGCTAGATTCAACACTCACACCTTTCTCTCTGTTCCTGATATTGCACAACTTTTATGGCGAGGTGAACTGGATTGAATGCAATGTTTTTTATTGAGAAGTGTCTGACTAATTATTTTTCCTCAACTGCCATGAGGATGGCCTGCCAATCACAGAGGGAGGTATCCCTGATAGATTTCTAACCCTGTGGTTGGGGGGAATGAGGAAAGTTGCAGAGTGAGGAAAGGTTCAGTTTAATCCTGCTGAAAAATAAGACCCAAGAGATTTCAAAATTACAAAGCAGATTTTGACCTGATCAGAACAAAATGCTCACAATGACAAAGACCTCAAGGAATAGGGCACTTTTTTTAAAAAAAACAAAGTAAATTAGAAATGAATAAATGGGGAATCCAGCTGAAAATTATTGCACAAAAATGTTAATACAGAAATCGAAAGGTTATGAGGTCAGTGAAGAAGATCCTAAGATGGGTTCAAGTGACTAAAGACATTTCTAAGTTAAAAAGGGGATTCAGGGATATGATGAGCAGAAAGAGTGGGAAGACCTTGAGGTCAACCATTCTGAAATTCCTGAATAGTTAATTGTCACCATTTCTATATTTAATTTAATTTAAGGATTTAACACTGCTAAAACTCTGGATCAATACGGGGGGGGGGGGTCATCCTATTAAACCAAGTTTAGAGGAGATCATTTGGAAAAAATGTGGAAAACATCATAAATGTTTATGTGAGCTAAATTACCTTTTTGTGAAATTAAATGAGGAAGAAATATTGGCTTAATCAACATCAACAGGAAGTCAGAAAAAATCTTAGCTTTATGCCTTATCCAGAGGATAACACCTCTGACACGTGCAGCGCTTCTTCAATACTACACCCAAGTGTCAGCCTAGTTTATAAATCAAATTGCAATGCAGAGCTTAAATCCACAACTTCTGATACACAGACGGAAACATAGGTAAACTGACATCAATAAAGCCTGACCACAATTCTCTCATTGGCAGCTTACCTCAAGTGGAGTTTCTCTAAACCAGCATCAGCAAGGTCATCATTGGCTCGCTGATGAATGTCTCTTTGGGTCTCAATTTTGTGATCATCGGACAAGCCGTCCACTTTGTGAATAAAAACTTCAAAGTTGATTTCAGGATTGACTTTATATGCTCTGGACACGGTCAAATGAAGTCTTGCGAGGGCTTCCATATAGTCATCCTGCCAAGGCACAACAACTTCATCAGTAAGCTGACATCCACTAAATAATTCCACCATCAGACTCTAATGCACTCATTGATTCTTCACCAAGTCTGCTGCACTCATCAATTTAATTGCATTAATAATAAAATATACAGCCTTATCAGATCGTCAACATGTCTCAAAGTGCTTCACAGGATATACTGTAAAGATTGTGTATTTTGTGGGCGAAACGCAGCAGCCAATTGCGCGTAGCAACATCCCACAAACTAATAGAGTGACTACTTTAATTAAGGACCTTAAGTAGTTGAATAAGGTGGCTCTAATTATATATATTTTCATTTCTGAGTTGAGGAGGGAAAAAAAGGGTTTTAATTAAATTGATTATTTTTAAAACAGCTACTTGATGCAACTGGACCAACTTGGACACACCTGCCCAAATGTCAATTCTGTCAGTAATCAAAAATCAAATTTATTGTCATAGCAAGAGACAGAATTCAGTGCCGGCCATCATAATTAAGTGGATATATTTGGGCTCAGACTATATTTCAAGGTGACACAAACGTTTGCTCAACCTCCTGTATTCTTCACTCTGTGCCAGCTTTTTATCTTTTTGCAGGGTCCTGATATTTATCCTACAATTTGTCTTGGTTTGTTATTTCACTGTAACTAATGACCTGTGGACAAGTTACAGCCAGGTTTTAGACCTTACCCAAGGCAATACAACGCAATAAAAACAAACACAAATCTAAATTAGACGCGAGTGCATGACCAAGCAAGTATGCAACAAAGATTTCCTCCTAAACTTGTCCCAGGCATAATATAAATTGGTTAGTTTTTTATCTCCTCTTTAGTGATGTTGTAAGATGGGCCTATAGAAAACTGCGGCCGCAATGTTTCTGTGGAATCCACTGCAAACAACCGCAAGCGGGAAATAGGCTTCGCTCACCCGAGGCCCCATTGTTGTGATTGTTCGTGTCTCTCTCTCTCTCCTCTGTATGAGTGTGTGTGTGTGTCTCTGTGTCAGTGAGTGTGTGTGTCGCTCTCTCTCTCTCTGTGAGTGTGTGTCGCTCTGTCTCTCTGTGAGCGCGCGCGTGGCTCTCTCTGTGTGAGCGCGCGCGTGGCTCTCTCTCTGTGTGAGCGCGCGCGTGGCTCTCTCTGTGTGAGCGCGCGCGTGGCTCTCTCTGTGTGAGCGCGCGCGTGGCTCTCTCTCTCTGTGTGAGCGCGCGCGTGGCTCTCTCTCTCTCTGTGAGCGCGCGCGTGGCTCTCTCTCTCTGTGAGCGCGCGCGTGGCTCTCTCTCTCTGTGAGCGCGCGCGTGGCTCTCTCTCTCTGTGTGAGCGCGCGCGTGGCTCTCTCTCTCTGTGAGCGCGCGCGTGGCTCTCTCTGTGTGAGCGCGCGCGTGGCTCTCTCTCTCTGTGTGAGCGCGCGCGTGGCTCTCTCTCTCTGTGAGCGCGCGCGTGGCTCTCTCTCTCTGTGAGCGCGCGCGTGGCTCTCTCTCTCTGTGAGCGCGCGCGTGGCTCTCTCTCTCTGTGAGCGCGCGCGTGGCTCTCTCTCTCTGTGAGCGCGCGCGTGGCTCTCTCTCTCTGTGAGCGCGCGCGTGGCTCTCTCTGTGAGTGCGTGTGTCGCTCTCTCTGTGAGTGCGTGTGTCGCTCTCTCTGTGAGTGCGTGTGTCGCTCTCTCTGTGAGTGCGTGTGTCGCTCTCTCTGTGAGTGCGTGTGTCGCTCTCTCTGTGAGTGCGTGTGTCGCTCTCTCTGTGAGTGCGTGTGTCGCTCTCTCTCTCTGAGTGTGTCACTCTTTCTGTGAGTGTGTGTGTATCTGTCTCTGAGTGTGTGTCTCTGTAGGTGTGTCTCTGTGTCTGTGAGTGTGTGCGCAGTGGCAGCCCAGAGGCAGGAGGTGGTGACTTCCTGGAGTCTGCAGTCAGGACACTGGTGAGCAAAGCTGTTGTTTTGTGGATTTCCCGGTTTTTAAATGTTGTGTGGGGTGGAAATGGACAATTCAGCCCATTGTGCCGCACTGGTGTTTGTGTGTGTTCTTCATGTTTAGTTTTTATCAATAAAGTGATATCAATAGGTTGCCCATAAAATGTACTTCTCAATAGCACCAATCAACTCGCAGTAATTTTCTGAAAATTTGTCAAATTTCACCACAGTTTTTGGAAAATATTTCTGTAATTTTCTGTTGGCCCAGGTCATAAGAAGACTATTTACTGATCAAGAGCTAACAAGCAATCTGCTTCCAAGTGTCCAGCAACAAATTTGCAGAAACATGAGGTTAAAAAAGAGATGGGGTGGACTCACATTTTAACAAAACAGTATGTAACAAAAAGAAGCTGTTTGGTGCATCAAACTTATTCTTTCCACAGATCGGGTACTATTGTGGAATTTACATTGTCTGTCACACGGTTTGTACTCCACTGTTTTTAGCATAAATGTTTATACATTGTTTAACAAGTCTTGCTGGTCTCAAATAATCAGATATAATAAAAATCAAAAATCTCTTAAAAGCAATTTGTCTACATTAGTCATTTGATCCAATGAACATCTAATGTAACCCTCAAACAAGTTTAGGAATAAAATAATAATAATCCTTGCATTTGATATAGCGCCTTATCACGTCTTCGAGATGTGTCAAAGTGCTTCACAAAAATCCTGATGTGTCATAAACAATATTTGCAAACTTGAAACTTAAACGTTTATGCATCCAATTCATGTCAGAATTTAAAGCACAACATAAGATGTAACAGTTTGCCTTGATTCAATTACTCTCATCTCTGTATTTTCATTTCCTTATTTCTATTCCTTAGGACCCAGTTCTAAGCCAAGGCCCTAACAGGTTGGGTTGGTCGGAGCTGGACACGCAGCAGGTAAGCTTACTGGACAAGGCTTTCCATTTCAAGCAATAGGGTTTTAAATGGTTAACCTCCAGCACAACCTGTGCCTAATACTTTCCAGAAAAAGTAAGCAGGATGCATCACTCCAGTAAGAATGGCATTCAATTCCAATAAATATCTCTGGAATTCCCATATATAAGTGATTTGCATGGAACTCAGTTTAGTTTGGAAACTCTTGTGCATGGCGGTGGGCTACTACAATGGTGGGCAAATGACACCCCACGGGCCATTTCCGGCCGTCAAATGATTCTCCCTGGCCCATCATTGGGTCCAACAATAGAAAAATTACAGTTTGTTCAGTCCCAGAAAGTCACACAAATCGCATTTGAATCTGACATCAGCCAATCACACGGCTCAGTTGTGCGCACAAGTACTTGAATCAGGGCTGATGTCAGAAATGTACGGATCAGCAAATTTTCAAACACGGTCGGCAACCGCGGAAATACTTTTCACTGAAAAGGATGTTAATTCGAAATGAGTTTATCAAAGAAGAGAAAAGTGGATGCTGAAGGCTGAATATTCAACAAGGATGGATTTCTAAATTTCTTTTACCAGTGGGGGTGGAAAATAAAACAAATAAAATAAAAATAAAATAAATTAAAAAAGAAAAGAAAGAAAAGAAAAACAGTGTGCAGTTACAAAATAAAGTAAGCAATTTTGCATGTTTTTCACTGGCACTCGATGAGAGTTGTGATGTCAGAGACACAGCCCAGTTGATAATTTTTATTCGAGGTATCACCAAACATTTTGAGCTCACAGAAGAATTGGCATCAATGCAGTCAATGAAAGATACGACAACTGGAGAAGACGTTTTGGAGGCAATAAATAAGTGTATCTTAAAATTAGGAGTGGAGTGGAAAAAATTGGTGAATGTGACCACCGTTGGAAGCCCAAATCTGACAGGCAAAAATGTTGGGTCACTGAAAAGAATTCAAGATCAAGTCAAAAAAACAAATCCAGAGCAGAATATTGTTTTTCTCCACTGCATTATCTACCAAGAGGTCCTCTGTAAGAGTGTTCTAAAACGAAGCCATGTCATGGACACAGTTACGAAAGTGGTCAACTACATTCAAGCAAGAGGATTAAACCTCAGGTAATTCGTAACTCTGTTTGAGGAATTGGAATCTGAGCACACGGATGTTCTGTATCACATGAATGTAAGATATAAAGATCTTGAAAACAGTGTGGGAACTGAGAACAGAGGTTGATTTATTTTTGGATGTGAAACAAAACGATTGAGATTTCTCACAGCTGAATGAGCGAATTGGCTGATTGCGCATTTGCCGTTGATATCATGGGCCACATGAATGAACTGAATTCAAAACTGCAACGGAAGGGGCCTTTGTGCACGATTTGTATTGCAATGTCAAGTTATTTATAACAAAATTATTTTTTTATTGCATCAGATAGGAAACAGGCTGTTCGCCCACTTTACAATTTTGCAGCAGATTACTGTTTTCGATCAAAGCTTTACAAAGTATACTTCGTCATACTTGACTTACACGCCAAATTCCAGGATTTCAATTTGATGGAAAATGATCTGTCTTTTCACCTTTCTCATTTGATGTTTACAAAGCCCCATTTGACCTCCAACTCGAGCTTATTGACCTGCAATGTGATCCATTGGTTGCGGAGCAATTCAAATCAGTTCTGCTTCAAAGTTTTTACACCTCTCTTAATGAATATACGTTTCCAAATTAAAGGCTCATGCCCAGGGGATGGTTGTGCTGTTTGGATCAACATACATATGCGAGGAGACATTTTCTGTGATGAAATTCAATAAATCAAAACATAGATCTGTGATGACTGATGACCACCTTGCAGCAGTACTCTGCATTGCAACAACGGAGATGATGTCTGACTTTAATTGTTTGGTTAACGCACATCAACGCTTTCATTCTTCCCATTGAGTGAGCTTCTCACATTCTTATCAATATGTGAATAAATGAATAAATATCGAATAAATGTCTGCTCAATGAGTTGTTTTTATTTAACCAAATTTTAATGAAAGTCAATTATATAGACTTTATTTTATGCATGTACAAGTGTAAGATTTGATTTTGAACTATTATTAAGCATTTGCATCTATATTAAGTGCGGGGCTCGCGAAGCTTACCAAAACTCGTGAAG